GGTGCACTTCCGGGGAACCAGAAGCCCACGTGAAACTTGGGTGTTCGTTGCGGAGCGCTGCGTTGTTGTTTCCCACCACGCGGGGGCGGTATCACCACGTTGGACGCAGAGAAAGTCTTGCATCTTGTGCAACAACTGCTGGTTATGTGTCAGCAAACCAGAATCACGGGGAATAGTCGTTGGAGAAACACAAACCGAATCCTGAGTTAATTATTTTCACCGTGTAATTCAAGTTCCACATTGTCATCACTTTGCCACTTATCTCATTTTGTGATGTGCTAATTTGCTATGTGCATCTAGCAAATCACAGAACATTTTCACAGCTTTTAAATAGTGAAATCATTACTTTAATGGAGCTTATTTAAAGCCTTTTAAATTTCAGCTGACTACTATGAATGTCAGCCAGAGACTCATAAATTACATTTTTCAATTTATTGTTTAATTGCGTAGTTATATGAGACATCTCTGGTGAGGCACGGCTTGATGACTCTTGGGCCCAGCGGTTCTGGGAAGACCACCGTTATAACCATTCTGATGAAGGCACAAACAGAATGTGGACGGCCCCACAGAGAGATGCGAATGAATCCAAAAGCCATCACTGCGCCTCAGATGTTTGGCAAACTGGACACTGCTACTAATGACTGGACAGATGGGATTTTTTCCACTCTGTGGCGGAAAACATTAAAAGCTAAAAAAGGTACATACAAACATTCCTCTGTGGTCATTTTTTTCCTGCTCATTTATTAATACGACAATATCTGTTTCATTTTACGTTTTAATTATTTTCAGATGAAAAGTGATTTTCTGTTCCAATTATTTGCAGGGGAAAACATTTTCCTCATTTTAGATGGCCCCGTGGATGCCATTTGGATCGAGAACTTAAATTCCGTGTTGGACGACAATAAAACTCTCACGTTAGCAAATGGAGATCGCATTCCCATGGCCCCCAGCTGTAAGCTTCTGTTTGAAGTCCACAATATTGAGAATGCCTCTCCTGCCACGGTTTCTAGGATGGGCATGGTCTACATCAGCAGCTCTGCTCTCAGCTGGAGGCCAATACTGCAGGTCGGGGAAGCGGGACTGATGCACCACTCAGTGTCTTTCTATGTTTCACTTTCTTAATAAACAGAGATTCTGTTTCTTTGCTGCAGGCCTGGTTGAAGAAACGCACTGCACAGGAAGCTCCTGTATTCCTGAGTCTGTATGATAAAATATTTGAAGATGCATATACATTTATGAAACTAAACCTCAATCCCAAAATGCAGCTCTTAGAGTGCAACTATATTATGCAAGTAAGAATTTTTTTTTTTTGGTACATTCACTACTTAGATTCTGAGATTTTTTTCCCACTCTGTTGCAGTTTACAGACATCTGAAAGAGAAAATTGATGCAGTCCATAGAGATCTTTTTATAATATGGCTACGAAATCTCTGAGAAGTTTGATTTCCATTAAAGATTGTATTAATGATCTTACTGTCCTCTTTTATTATTTTCACCTCCCAGAGGCTGTTGCTTGGGGAAGAGGAATGAACTCTTTCCCACTATCAAGTTTAGTAAGCTGTCCCAGAAAGTGTGTCAAGTAATGACAGTTGACAAAGTAAATAAATAAAGCTAGTAGTTTTACAGAAAAGTGCAACTGGAACTTGTGGCAGTCAGGAAAACTTAGATGGCAATCTTGGCTTTGCAAATTTAGTATATATCAGATAGGGAAAACCTTTAAATAAAGCAGTTTGTAGGATTCTTTTTTCCTCCTCTCAGTTTTTCTTAATCGTTTTTTGGGGGAAAAAACCCCCAGAACTAATATTATAATAGAATTTTAAGGGCTCTCCCAATTTTGGTGTTTAGGTGATCCATTCTAGTACTTTGATTCTCAGTGTAAGGGAAGTCAGTCAGTCAGGGTGGGTAGGTTAGAAATAGCATATAAGGCCCAAATCAGTGAATTATTTAGTAATTACTTTAAAATACATAGAGAAAATTTGATCTTGAAATAATTTTGTTTTGGAAGACTGAGGATGTCTCACTGTAGTGAGACATCTTTCTGATGCTATAGGGAGTTGGTACACTTTTTCTTAAAGAACCAGATAGTAACTATTTTAGGCTTTTTACAACTTTCTGTCTCAGCCACTCAACTTTGCTGTTGTAACACAAAAGCAAGCTAGAGACAATGCCTAAAAGAATGAGCGTGACTGTGTTCCAGTAAAATTTTATTTACCAAAGAGGTGGCTGGCCCCTGGAGGGCCACAGTTTGCTAAATTTTGTAAAATGTTGCAAAGAAATAGAATATTTCATCTGGAAAATTTGGATAATAAAATTTTAGAACCAGAAGCTACCTTAGCAAACATATCATCTAGGCCTTTTGCTTTTCTGATTAGGAAACGGAGACTCAGAGAGGTCAGTGGCATGAGCTGGGGGTAGAAAGCACACATGCAGATTCCAGTTTAGCATCCTTTCTGCTTGACCACACAGCCTGTCTAAAGCAGACTGGTGGGCCTTTCTTCTAAATGCTGTTGTCTGTAGGACAGTGAACAGGCAATAGCTTGAGATATATCTGTTTTCTTCTCTCTTTCCCTCCTCCTTTTAATTTT